TTGGTTGATATGTTTCCAAGTCAAAGAAGGATTCTATCCTAGTTTGTTTCCTTAATTGTTTGAGATTTTGTTTTGCTTTAGGAGAGTTTTTCCAAACCTTTTTATAGTAGGCTTTAGTTGTTTTATATAAGGTCACTCTAAGCTCTCTCTATGGACAATCTTGATACCATATACTTTTTCACCATATTTCAATACCCCCACAAATATATCAGAGAGAGAGCCAAGAGTTGCTGCCGTGGTGCTTTTGGAGCTTATGAAGGTGCTGCTGTGGAGAATCCATAGATCAAATCCATATGCCAAATCGGTTTTATGACAACAATTCTTTTGTCATGAACTAATTTTCCTTGCTAGGGCTACAATGTAGCTTAACCATGAATACTTAATTTTTATAGTTATATTTATTTTTGATTATTATTCCATGTTGAGTATTTGTTACTGTTCTTAATACTTTAAATATTTGGCCAATATTTAATTGATTTGATGATCCAAGCAGAGACCGAGAGGAGATGTTTGGTGTTTTTTTCTAGCAACAAATACCATTTCTTGAATGAGTGCCTGAGAGGGACTAACATGACTCATGCAGTTTTCATGCAAGTTCTCATAGAACTTAATGGGTTCTTGATTTTTTAAATTTGTAGCTCGAGGGAGAATGGGTTGTTAATTAAGAATACTTTTGGTTGAGCCCAGAGGGGAAATCGAATGAATTAGGAGAAACCAACTGTCAACATGAGTAGTAATTATGGTTAATTGGCTATAAGAATTAAGTGGAATTGGTTATGGTGAAATCAGATGCTCTAGTGTCTCATCAACTTGATTTTCCACCGTTAATTAAATTGCTATTTTTCATATTTGTTTGAATTTAGTTTAAAAATCAATCACTCTCATTAATCAATTGTTCAAATAAACTTCTGAATTAATCATAATTGGTACTTAAAAAGAAATTACAATCTTTGTGGGAACGATACTTCACTTATCTCTATATTAGGGCTCATTTGGGAGTGATTCTGGATAGGCCAAAATCGCTTCTAGGGAAAAGCATCTCCCACATTCTTCTCCATATAATCACTTTTAGTGATTTTAAGTGATTATAGGGAGAAGCACCTCCCATGTGCTTCCCCATAAAATCACTTAAAATCACTTAAAATGATTATATGGAGTAGTGATTATTGGCATATCCAAAATCACTCCCAAATGAGCCCTTACTTGGCTTGTAATAATTTCACAAGTTTTTGGCGCTGCTATCGATGATTGTTTTATTTTCTATTAATATAAATATATTTTAATTATGAGTTTAATTTGAATTTTTCTTTTTATTTCAGGTACGTTGGATTTTTTTGACACCTCCATCTACGGCGGATGAAGCTGAAAGAGCACTGAGGGAATTTGTCACCCCAATGGCAACTCCCTCAGCAATCCGACGTCCTGTTATTTCGACCAATAATTTTGAGATTAAACCCTTCATGATCACCATGTTACAGAATTCATTTGTATTTTGTGGTTTGCCGAACGAAGATCCAAATATACATCTTGCGATATTTTTGGAGATGTGTGACACATCCAAGTTCAATGGGGTGACTGATGATGTTATTCGTTTAAGGCTATTCCCTTTCTCCTTAAAGGATAGCCAAACTTTGGTTACTGTCACAACCACAAGATTCCATCCATACTTGGTTTGATATATGCAAGAAATTCCTTGCTAAATTTTTCTCTCCGGCCAAAACAGCAAAATTCTGGCAAGATATTATGTTGTTCGCTTAGTATGATAAGGAGCCTCTTTATGAAGCAAAAGAACAATACAAAGATTTATTGCGCAAGTGTCCTCACCATGAGCTACCAACCTGGATTCAAGTTTAAACTTTTTATAATGGGTTGAGTCAAACAAGTAGGACATTAGTTGATGCAGCAACTAGGGAAGCTTTAATGGCAAAATCAGCTACCGAAGCATTCAAACTATTGGATACCATGGCTTCCAACAGTTATCAGTGGCCTAGTGAAAGAGTGAATCTGAAGCCAGTTGGGGTATTGGAAGTTGATGTTATGGCTTTGTTAATAGCACAAATTTCTAACCTTACTAAAAAAGTTGATTTTTTGAGTGTTAATGCTATGAACACTAATACTAATTTTGGTTGTGATTTTTGTGCAGGCCATCATCCCAGTTCTGAGTGCACCACAGGTTTGCTGAGCAAGTAAATCATGTTGCAGAATTTAATCAACAAAGGAATGATCCTTATTCCAACATGTACAAACCCGGTTTGCGAAACCATCCAAAATTTTCTTGGTATAATAATCAGAATGTGCATAGACCACTACTTGGATTTCCGCCTCAAGAGAAGAAAATAAATTTGAATGATGCTCTTACTCAGTTAACTATGTCAACCACCCACTTTATGACTGAAACAAAAACCCAACTTCAAAATCAGAGTGCTTATATTCGGAACTTAGAGGTGTAAGTAGGCCAATTAGTTAATCTATTGAGTGGAAGAAATCAAAGAGTATTGTCAAGCCAACCCAAAATTCATCTGAAAAATTTCAAGTAGTTTTTGGTGTCGTTGCCAGGGAAAGGGAAGCAAGTGAATGTACATGGTTAACTTGGAAAAAGAAAAATTAGAAAAAGAGGAAGAAGCAGAGAAATCCAAAGAAGAAGAAAATTATGCTACTATGCCGACTCATTCTCCTCCATTGAAGCCATATGTCGCACCGATCCCTTTTCCGTAGAGGCTAAAGAAAAATAAAATTGATGGGCAATCTTCTAATTTCTTGGAGACATTCAAAAAGCTGCAGATCAACATTCCATTCGCTTCAGCTTTGGAATAAATGCCAAGTTATGCAAAATTCATGAAAGACATCCTCTCCAAGAAAAACAAATTTAGTGATCATGAGAGAATCCAAACTGACTTAAGAATGTAGTGCCATCCTGCAACGGAAGCTTCCACCAAAGAAAAAAGATAGAGGGAGTTTTAAAATTCCATGCACTATTGGAAATAATTTCTTTGAAAAAGCTTTATGTGATTTGGGTTACAGCATTAATTTACTACATTTATTTGTTGCTAAAAGGATTAGCATTGGTGAAATTAAACCCACTATTGTTTCTCTGCAGATGGCGGACAAATCAATCACATATCTTGACAAAATTATTGAAGATGTTCTAGTACAGGTCGATACACTCATATTTCCGGCTCATTTTTTGGTTTTGGATATGGAAGAAGATTATGAGACACGACTAATTTTGAGCCGTCCATTCCTGATTACTGGATGAACTCTGATTGACGTGGAAGAAGGGTTATTGATTGTGAGAGTAGAAAATGAAAAAGTGACATTCAAAGTTTTTGAACCAATGAAATTGCAAGGAAAAGCGAAGGAGACTCCGAGCCATCTATTGGTACATGCCATCACCTCCAAAGCTGACAAACCAAGGGTTGCTGAACATGCCTTGTACTTGGATGAACCAAAACCATACAACCCAGGAAGGAATGAGTGAGAGGAACTTCAGAATAAATCATATGAGAGTGCGAGAATTTATAAGGACCATACAAAGAAGTGGCATGACAAGCATATCAAGAATGATCGTGACGGTACACTCTTCAAAGTCAAGGGCCATTAATTGAAATCACATGTGGCAGCTGCATTTCTTAAGGATGAGACCAACGTCCTCCTTAATAATTCCAAATAACGCATATGAAGGTCTAACTATTTACTCTAAACTAAGTGCTTGTTGGGAGGCAACCAAACTAGGTACCTTCGTTCCTTATCTTTTTAATTTTCGTTTGCGTGTTTCCCACATTCATTGCTTTTACTATTCTTTGTCTTTGCTTTTATTTTATTTTTAGACATTGAGGACAATGTTTAGTTTAGGTTTGAGGTGAGTAATATTCATTTTATTTCAAATTGTTTCATTTTTAGTCTTTTTTCGAGTCATGCAAAATATTGGTGTTTATGTTTCGATTAAACTGTTTTCATTTGTAATGGTTTTGAAGATTTGGCCAATGTAGCCATCTTCATTTTTTTCGCACTGAATCCAGCCACATAAGGCTCTTAATTTTCTGACTTTGCATTTGGAAGTTACATATGTTTTTTTGAACAGGGGTATAGAATTGAAATGTTTCTGCGATTCTATATTGTTATATATTTTTAACGTTAGTTTTGATGCAGTTCTAAAATGTTTTGCAATTTTCTATCCATTGTTTGAGTATATAAGGCTTGTCAAAATCAGTGCAGTACTTTGTAAGATAATGACTGAAAATTGATTTTAGGTCGAAACTAAAAGAAGCAGTTTTTCCCAAATGTAAATTCTAGTTAAAGCTTACACTTTTTCTTGCTAATAGAGACGTATATGCCATGTTTTGATCTTGAATGCTTTACTAACGTGTTTCCATGAAGGGTTATTGCATTATAATCTTTACACTTTGTAGGGGCCTTTTTATTCCAGCAGCCTGACGAATGGGCTTGGGCTGCCGAAAAAGAGAAACATGTGAAGCTAAGAGCAGATTGATGAAATTATCCCCTGTGTCTGAGTTCAAGGATCAAGCCCCAAGAGTGTTTCGAAAGGGTAGCTGAGCCTTAGGAAACACTTTGGTCTTCTTCACCAATGAAACCAACTGTCGCTTACAGATAAATTCTTGGCTTGATATGAGAAGCTTGTGGCATTGGAGCTAAGCATTCATGATTTAGCATGAGAGAGAGAAAGAGCTGCGATTTCCAGAAGAGAATATGGGATGAGATGGAGGAATATGGCTCGAAATTGCATGAGTTTTAGGGATGAGAGATGATGATTGCTCTCTAGATGTGTATTTATAGAAAGAGAGGAAGAAGATGAAAGCATGGGTGGCTTTAGCATATTTTCAGCAGCTTGACGAAAGCTTCGTCAAGCTCCTGGGTGATTTGACAAAAGAAAAAAAAAGGGAAGCAATGGAAGAACAAGGCTTGAAATTGAAGGGTTCCAGAGATGAGAATTGATGTTTGCTCTCTCTGGATGTGGGTTTTGAAAGAGAGAAAGGAGGAAGATGGAAGAACAAAGCATGAAGGGTTTTGTTCACTCGTTTTGCGTTTACTCCTATGATGGAAGGGCAAAGTTCCCCACTGCCTTGAGAACCATAGACTGGTCAACAAGTCAGCTTTCTTTGGTGTGCGAGCGTGCCACTGCTAGTAATAAAAATTCTAGTAGACTTAGTTTGGAATGGATAACTTGCGTCCCAAGTTACTGATTTATGCAAACAAGCGATTGTGAATTTGGGTGAGGAATACCTCCCAAGTAAGTTCTTTTCTTGCCTCAGACTGGTGAGGATTTCAACAATTTATCTCAGTATAAAGAGGTTGTTCTGGTCAGAATGGTTGATGGGATTTAAACTGTTTTTAGGCGGAATTGCCTTTTACAAAAATATAACAATAGATGCCCATGCTAGAAAGAGATAAAGAGACAGCTGGAACTCCATTTATGTCGAGATGGAAGGTTCTAATCCGGGCTGGACTGGAAATGCCTGGGCTGGACTGGACCGTTGACAACTGTGACTGTTAGGTTTCAACTGTAAATCGATACCAAAAGTTGATTTTGGCAGAGCTTCAATGTACCTCAAGCTTTTGTGAAGCTTTTGAGTGGGCAGAACTGCGGTTTCCTCAGTCTGCTCGGGCAGAAGTGACTGTTTTTGAGGACTTCAGTGGGCTAGAGACTGTACTGTGAATTTTGTTGAGGTTTTCCATATTTGGAGAAAGCTCAAGCTCTACCTGTCTTGGTTTCTTTTGCTGAACCAAATTTGTAACGAGAGAAATCTCGTTTTGAATGACTTACTTCTTAAGTCTGAGCCTTGGGAATTCTGATATGAAGCTGGTTTCACTTGAAATTCAAGTGGGCTTGTTGGTTGATTTTGAGTTGTCTATTTGATTGATGGTTTCCTTGTGTAAGATTTTTGATTGATTGGATGTTGAATTTTTTTGTGTCCTTTGCCCTGTTCACTCATTCTTGTATTTATAGTAAAATGTTTTTCTGGAGTAGGGTGATTTTGTTTAATATTGGGCGGCAAATCTTTTCAAAAGATATTTCCCCTTTTTTTTCTTTTTAATGGAAAGAAAGAAAATAGGATTTCATCAGTTTGGCAGATAGGCTCTCAAATAGACAATCACTTCCCTGTTTTTCTTGAAAAAGAACCTAATCTCTTTTCCCAATTCCAACTGCCCCTTGTGAGATTTCAACCGTGATGGTTAGTTTGATTTCTTTTCTGGACAGCTCCCTGCTTTCCTGCTTATCCTTCTCTGAGATTGTAGCTTGCTTATCTCTTTGGGAGAATTACCTTCTCTGTAGAATAGAAGAAAAATCTCTGAATATATATATGTAAGAGGGATTTTGATCTTCAGATTTTTCAGGGTTTTCAAAACAGCTTGATGACATAAATTTTTCAATCACTTCTTCTATGACAGTTGCCATTGTTGACTTTCCTTTATCCCACAGATGTCACGTGAGATTGTTTCCTATTTCTGGGCCCCCCTATCTTTTTATCACAACGGGTCTGTGAGGCCCAGGTTGGTTTTGTTTTGCTTTGATAAGCTTTGGGCCAGGCTCTTCTGGATTTTGGGCTTCTTTCGCTGGGCTGGGTGTGTCAATTTTTAGGCCCAAACAGGTTCCAAAGGGGATGCTTGCCTTCGATGAATTCTCATGGTTGTTGGGAAGCTTGCAGCAACCAAGGTGAGTTTTGAGATCATATCTCAGATGTGTTTGCTGGGTAGAAAGTGCTTCCTTTTATAGGCACTAAAAACCTTAATTTTGTCCCCTCCCCCTTTTCCTTCACTTTCTTCCATTCCATCTTATTTGATGAAACTTCCTTAGCTTAAGCATGTAGGCATGAAGCTTTTTGGAGTTCCAAGGTCCTCAAGTAGCTGGACTTCTCCATGTGGGTGATGAGCCACCCACTTTTGTTTCTTGTTTTCTCACCAAAGCTTGAAGAGGAAAGAATGGGTAAGGGTGCTTGGTCAAAAAGGTGATCAGCACATGGGTTTGCTTGGTTTTGGTGGTTTGGCTGTGATCTGGTTTTAACAGAGATGCACGACTTTAGATATTTTATAAGGTGCTGGGCTAGGCTGTTTTGTTTCCAGCGGCTTGTGAGTTCCCTTTGATTTTGTCAGACTGCTGGAAGCTTTGGCTAATGTGGGATTTTTTTTATGGGCTATGGCTATTGGATATTTTTCTAAGATGTTTGGGCATTTTCTTAAGGTGATGGGCTATTAGGTTTTCTCTCATGCATACCCATATGTTTGGACTCAAGAAATGGGCTTGAGTTTTGGTGCTCCCAAGTAGCCCAAAACTTCCACTCCTTGGACCATCAATGGGCCTCGTGAACGCTTGTAACCATCCATACCACAACCCGCTCAGCAAGCCTCAGGCATTCGCGTGGCTTGGGCCCACTTAAGCTTGTAGCGTGGCATGTTGTTTAAATAAGGATTTTCCGCTTGGTGTTGTACTCGGCCAAAAATATATTTGGGTCCAACCTTGGATTTTTGGGCCTCAACACACTTCACAATACCATACTCATTATGTTTTGGTGGACAAGGTTGCTATGCTTGAATGATATATTATGGAATATTAATGGAGACTACCGTTGTTGTGAGATATTGAGCCAAAAGCCATTCTTTGAGAGGGGTTTTATTGTTTCTACTCTTAAACACTCTTCGATTTTGTTCTTAATTAGATTGCTCTCATTAGGTTTGTATTGGATACTAAAAAAATTTCTTATTGTGTGCGTCATTTGTTCTCACACAAAAAGGTAGGTACATCGCTTCCAAGTTGGATGGACCATGAGAGATGATGTTAGGCTATGCATGTTTTCACCCACTAAAAGACCTTTCATCCTACCTTTTTGTGTGCGTCATTAACCCCTTTGTAACCAAACACTTAGCCTTTTTATTCACCACCCTTATTATCTATAACCTATACAACCCGTTTCTAAGCCATACATTTTCGCTTAGGATGTGCCAAAGTGATGAAAATAAGAAGGTTAAGCTCTACACCAAAGAATTGGCGTGTACTGAGATGTTTGTGCAAAATTGCAAGAAGACAAAAATAGAAAAAGAAAGAGAAAGAAAGAAAGAAAAAAAAAAAAAAAAAAAAAAAAAAAAACAGAAGAAAAGAAAAGAAAAAGTACTTGCAATTCAAAAGAGTAACAGTTCAAAATCACTTCAAATGAAGTAGTGAACACTACAACACAAAAACCTTTCCATGACGTTTGATTTGCGTCATGGAAGGCATTTAATGATGTGGATCAGGCATTGTAACCCGCGTCATGGAAGGGGGGGGGGTCATGGAAACGTTTTTCAAAACACGCCATTTGTTCTGCGTCATTGAATTGGGGTTCAATGACGTGGATTGTGTATCGTCTTACTTTTTCCATGACACATCCTCAATGTCATGGATGAGGTTTTGATGACGTTAATTAGACGTCGTTAAAAATATGACATTCTATTTAACACCCTTTTTAAGGACTTTACATGACGTGGTATAGGCGTCATTGAACTTAACGACATTGATGAGACGTCATTGAAAGATTTTTTATGACACGGTTCAGATGTCGTTGAAATTCTTTATAAAAAAATTCAATAATTTTTTTAATATGTATATATATATGTATCCCATTATTTTAATTTTGCAAAAACAAATTAATATATGGAAGCCAAAATGAAGACACAAAGGCTAATAAATATTTTAAATTATATTTTATTACTCAAAATGATTCTAGTACATCATGAGAAGTTTAATGAAAATAAATTGTCTTTAGTACATTTAAATTAACTAAGAAGTACATAACTTCATTCGTCTCTCTTCTTGTCAATGAGGACATGATTCAGACATTGAAGAATAAGAGGTACGAGGTGATAGTAGACTACCCAATTTCAATCTTCTACCATATGCATTTGTTTGGGAGGCACGTTCACTTCCGGCAAGATGGCTTCAAAAGACTTCACAGACCCTGAATTCTCCAAGGGACTGCTTTCAATGGTCTAGAAAAGAAAAAAAAAGAAAAGAATCGATAAGTAGTTATAAGCCCTCTCAATCACTTTCTCCTGAATAGTATATATACTATTTGAAAATGAAAATCATGGTTTGATAAAGAACTACATAATGCCAGCAATGTACCTGGAAATGTATCATCTCAGTGCACGATTAATACCTATTGTAGGGGCTTTTTTTCTTTCGGTAGCTACAAACGGGCTAGGCTGCCGTAAAGGGCAGATGGATAAAATTGCCCCTTGAGCCTGAGTTCGAAGATCAAGCCCCAAGAATGCTTTGAAAGGACAGAGATGCCTTAGGAAACACCTTGGTTACCTTCACCAATGAAAATAACAACAGCTTACAGATGATTTCTTGATGTTTATAGATAAATTTTCTAGCTTGGCATGAAAGGCTTGTGGCATGGGAGCAAAATCAGCACGAGTTTAGCACCAAAAAGGAAAATATGGCTTCATAGGGAGAAAAAAGAGTGTTTAAGGTGAGGAAGAAGAGGTTTGCAGGCTGATTTGGCTGAGAAGAGAGAAAGAAAGAACCATGTTCTTTCGGCAGCTTGTCAGATGTGCAAGTAGTCTGCCAGAAGAAGAAAATGGAGAAGGAGGGTGAATAGTGCACGAGATTGCTGGGTTTTTGCAAGTAAGAGAAGAAGCTTGCTCTCTAGGTGTGGGTTGATTTCGTTGGGTAGAAGATGCCTCATTTTATAGCCGCTAGAAACCATAATTTCCCAAGAAACCTAATGACTTCTACCCATTTTGGCCAAGCTTTTCCCTTCCTTTCTCATCTCCTCCCTTGACTTTCCCTATATTGGTGAAATTTCCTCTGCCTATTTGCACAAAATTAGAGATTTTTGGGAGCTCAAGACCCCCTTTCCCGCAGCTGTTTCAGTGGGAGACTTCCATTCCCAGCCATCTCTTTCCTTTCTTTCTTTCCTTTTTCCATGGCCAGGTCTAATGGGGGAAGGAATTGGGATATGTATGCTGGTTCGAAGGGTGCTTCTCTTCCTCGCAGCTTGCACGTTAATATCCCTTGGTTCTTCGAGTGTTTTGTGCTTGGAAATTGTTCATTTCCCTGTGCTGGAGCCTTCCAGTAGCTTTGCATATGTGGACATCTTGCTCCTTTCGTGGCTTCTGTTTTTTCAGCAAGGGGCTGATGCTTTTGATGCTTCTCATTTCTAATTGTATGGGCCTTCTAAGATAATGGATTGGTTTGTCAAAATAAATGGGCTAACCTCAACAAGTGTTGGATTATTTTTGTTGAGGTGTTGGGCTAATTTGGTTGAGCTAATGGGCTATTTCCTCTTTTGTATTCACCCATATGTTTGGGCCTAAGAAATGGGCTTGAGTCCCAAGGCTCCCAAGCAACCCGAGACTTCCATTTCTCGGCCCATCAATAGGCTTCATGTCGATTTATTGCCATCCATACCACAACCCACTCAAGCAAGCCCTGGGCATTTGAATGGCTTGGGCCCACTTAAGCTTGTAGTGTGGCGTGTTGCTTCTTTGCTTGGCGTGGCATGTGTGTGTTGGGGTCTTTTTCGTTCGAAGGATCGTCCGAGCTTGTTGATTCTTGGATCGCCACAGAGTGATGAATGAAGCCTTTGTTGCCCATTTGTCTGAGTTAGCGAGAACTAGGCTCAAAGCATCCCGAGGGAGAAGCAAGTCCTAGGGGAGTACTCTGTTCTTCTTCCAGCGACTGCATATTTTGTACTGATGTTTCCGGCAACTTGACGAAGAGTTGAAGATGGTGCATTAATGTTACACAGAATTGGCATGAGAGTTTGCTTTGTGAATTGAGACACTACTAGACTAGGCATGAGAGGTTAGATGTTTCAGATACGGGATGGAGCTTTTTTGAGAGAGATAAGAGATGGGTGGCTTGAGTAGATTTCCAGCAGCTTGACGAAAGCTTTGTTAGGCTTTTGGGTGGCTTGCCAAAAGATAAAAAAGGGAAGAAATTGAATAACAGAGCTTGAAATAGAAGGGTTCCAGAGGTGAGTGGTGATTCTTGCTCTCTCTGGATATGTTTATGGGAGGGAGAGGAAGAGTATGGAAGAACACGGCTTGAGATTGAAGCTTCCAGCAATGAGTAAGGATGTTGCTTGCTCTGGCTAAGTTGAAGATGACTTGTTGATGTTGATATGAGATTATATGAGCTTGGCATGAGAGCTTGGAGTGTGGGAGCTAAAGACCCACAAGTTTAGCAAATGAGAATGCTTGTGCTTGGGTTGGTGTTTGATATACTTGAGTTTAGGTGTTGAGAATTTATTGTTTGAGGCTGTGGCTATGGCGGTTTGACTGTTTGGCTGTGATGGTTGTTGGGATGCTTATAGCAGTCAAATGAATGGGGTTTCAAAGAGTATGGCTGAGGAAAGAAAAGCTTAAGACTTTGAAAGGTATGGTGTTTGTGACAATGATTCTAGAGAAATTTATGAGTTCTAGAGGTGGGAGGATAAAAGGAAAAGCTTGAAGCTTGAAAGCTATGGTGTTTATAGCTTGGAAGGAAGGAAAAGCTTGGAGTTATGCTTGGTGAGGCTTTATGGATAAGATGATGGATTTCAAGGGTGAGAAAGTAGAAGACATGATTGTGATGGCTGAGGAATGGCTGGGATAGTCGCTGGAATGTTTGCAACAACTAAATGGAGGAAGGAAAGTAGTCTGGTGGTTGCTAAAGGGGGTTGATGGCTGCTGGGATGCTTGCAGTAGCCGAGTGAGGGAGTGTTGGCTGAAGAAAAATTGGTGTCTTTTGCTTGAGCCATGAAAGCCAATTTATAGAGGGTGAGGGTTTTCCTTTATTTCCAATAGGTAAAGGAATGTGCTGGAACCAACATATTTTCAGTGGTTAAAAGGGAGCACTGGGGCATACTATTTTCTAGCATGTAAAGCTAGGTACCATAAACTGATTATTTCCTATGGGTAAAAGGAAGCACTGTAAATTGCTTGTTTCCAGTGGGTAAAACTAGGTATTTAAAAAATGACTATTTCCTATGGGTAAAAAGAAGTGCTTGAAAAATATCTTATTTGCTCACCCACATTGGAGAACTCTAAGTAATGGGCTTGGACTTTGGTGCTCTCAAGTAGCTAGCCCAAAGTCTCCATTATCCGAGAGCTTCCGTAGGCTTTGTGGACCTCTGTAACCTTCCACACCACAATCAGCCCCGTAAACCACATGACTTGTGTTCATGTGAGCTTGATAGGTGATCGGCATGGGAAAAATATATTATTAGTTTGGCATGGCATGTACGCTATTTCTATATTTATTTAATGAATTAAATCCCAAAATACAACTTGAATTAATGCATGACCGACATTATATGTTATTTTGGGCTTTAAATGTCTTTGGGCTTCCTGTGACTTTTTTGGGCCTCAACAGTGTGCAAGCGCATATGATGAACTTTCGCGTGCCCAAATCGGGTTTCTTCTCGATAAGGTATCGCATTGGGCCGAGAATTTATTTGGGCTGAATCGTGGATTTTTTGGGCCTCAACACCTATCACTATCATAAAGAATGACAATATCTGCAATAGGAAGATTAATACCAAGTTCAACAGCTCTGATAGAAATAGTGGAAGCAATGGCTTAAGTTCTTTTGGTGAACAAAACATGAAATACAATATTATACGCTTGAAGTCAATAACAGAACATGAAATACTTGACTATCATTGACAGCTATAACAAGCTCAGATATAAGAGATTCGACATCTTCCTCATCTATGACTAAGATCACAATTTCAGCAGCCTCCCTTACAAACTTTTGAACTTCCTAACATTTCCAAAGCAACAATATTTCAAATTCAGCCCATTCTTTGTCCATTGCTAAAGTGAACAACTTGTTAAGATAGAGTATATATCAAGCCAATATAAGATTATTAGATCGATAAAAGTAGCAATTTACTTCATCAGAAAGTTAGAGGTGCAAGTAAGTAAGGCATAAGAGTCAAGGGTTAAAGCGTATAATGTTTCAGATAAAATGGAAACAATAAGAAATAGAAAGTAATTGTGAAAGTAAAATAATGTAGATCATAACTCAATTGGAGATGTCTTCGAACCATAGCTGCATCAGTAATATATATGTCAGATCCACAAAACATTCATAGGTATCTGACTATCCAAGCCAAAAGATAACAAAAGCAGTAAGTCTGTGTTAGGAGAGATGCAGTTGAATGATTCGAGGCTAATTGAAAAACAGGGATGATGATGATATGAAAACAGAAACTGAAAAGGGATATTTGATACATTTCTGAAACGTAACCAAAGCTAATTAAACTCTACATGGTGCAAAAAGAGATGCAATCAAAGCTACTAAAAGATATAATCAATCAAAAACACTCTCTTGAAAGTTCCACTTGCTTTGGTGCAAACATAGATATTAAGCCATAACATTTATCTCAAAGGCCTTAGACAATTGTGCAAGCATATGAGCAACACCATTTCAGCACCAAACCTCACCATTTGAAGTAACTCATCTTTATTAAGAGCTGCATCAAAGAATAAAATGTTAGGGAATAAGATATCAAATTAAAATTTCAAGCAAGAACTAAAATTCCAGCACACATGTCCACCCAATACAAAAAGATGATTGAAGTGCCCACCGAAGAAAATTAAGTTTGAAGTGTTGTATTCTTAAGCTACTGATAATACCAAATAATAACCAGGAAGAGAAATTTTCACAAAATCGTAATTACTCTCTAAAAATAAAACAAAAATAAAAATTCTAAATACTAACGCACAACTAGAACCCAAATTCAATCTAATAAAGTCAGAAATGCAAGTAGGATCTTGGATTCAATCAAATAAAATCACATACATATAGAATCCAAATAAAAACAAAAATTCACATAGAATCCACAATAAAAGCAAGCTACAGACATCTAGAATTCAAATAAATCCTAAACTGATACCAAAACTTTGTATCAAGCATGGAGGTTAGGGCTTTACAAAATCGCACCTTGGGAACTGTCACTCAGCCTTCACCTTCGAAGCAATTGGCCTCGAGCAATTGTCTTCCAGTGAGAGAGAAGATTGTGAGAGAGGGAGACAGTGAAGAAGCCAGAGAAAGAGAGGGAGGGTTTCGATGGGATTTGATGAGAGAGAGAGAGAGAGAGAGAGAGAGAGAGAGAGAGAGAGAAATTTGCAAAGTCTGAGAAAGAAGAGATCCGAGAGAGCATTTGGGATTAAAGAACGAATTAGAGATTGGAGATAGAATATGAGGCTTTTGTAAGAGCACTTTCCACTGATTTGCCCTTTGCCATGGCCGGGGGGGCCAGGGTTGTAGAAAGTAATGTGTGTTTTCACCCGTTGCCATAGCAAAGTTTTTTTTTTTTTTTTTTTTTTTTTTTTTTTTTTTTTTTTTTTTTTTTTTGGATAATATTTTCATATTAGATTTTTGGGTTCGTACGTGTCAATATTTATTATAAAATTCATAATATTGGAGAAGAAAATGTATGAGGATTTGGTGTTAAAAGTGAAGAGTATTGGTTGCTATTTACAAAAAAAAATACATTAATTTTTGGGTATTTTTTTTTAAAAAATGTCGAATTTTTTTCATTATTTTATTGCACAAAAGTTGGTTATCGTTGGATTGGAGGAAAAAGTCTAATCAGAGAGCCCAGACGACGCCACGTGGCTACTAGCCGTTGGTGGAACTGTAGTGCGCGCGGGCCCCCACCTCCTCCTAGGGACCGTTTTTGGGCCCTCACACCCCCAGCCCGAGTTGCTGGAACTACTCTAAGGGAGAGAGAATTTGACCCCAAAAAAAAGACGCAAAAAGGGCGGCCCACAAAAATTTTTGGGGGACAAAATTACATATCTATGACACATATGCTACATCATCAAAGTGCTAAAGATTTTATGGTGCAAAAGACGCGTCATGTTAAGGTTATTGAAAGTATTTCTACCTGTGAAAAAATAAACTTAATTAAAAGAGGTAAAAAAGTGGCGCAAAGAAAAAAAAAGGGGGGAAATTTTGGTAGATCTATGACTCGTGGGAAACGCCGTTGAAAAATAATTCTATGACGTGTATAAGTATTTCATGACGTGTAGGAGGATGTTAAAATTAAAAAAAAAAAAAAAAAAAAAAAAAATATCTTGACGCAGCTCTTGTGTCGTTGTATCAGTGTTTCATGACGTGTAGATGACGTCATTAAATTAAGAAAAATTTGGGGTACATCTGTGGCACAGATCCTACGTCGTCATATAACTGTTTTATGATGTGTTGAGGACATCGTTAAATTAAGAAATTTTTTGGGGTACATCTATGACACAGGTCATGCATCATCGTATAGGTGTTTCATGACTTGTAGACAACGTCGATAAATTCACAACAAGCAGGAGATGAAAAAAAATCTTAACGACATGTGATAGATGTCATCTAAATGCAATAGAATCAACGACACACATCCCGCGTCATTGAAAACAATTTTAATGACGCGTCTAGTGAGTGTCGTGATAACGGTGTCATAAACTCATTTCGATGACGCATTTTAAAAACATTTCATAGATAATGACATTTAATGATGTGTATTTTTGATGTGTCATTAATTATGTGTCATAAAATGACACTTTTGTTGTAGTGGAAGATGCATAATTCTTTAATCAGTACTACAAAATGTTCAAAAGAAGCTGGCTGTTAATGTGAATAATGCTTTGGGATGTCCTAACTTTTAGTTATTTCTTTCCTTTCTTTCTTACCCTAAGCCTAGCTTTTCATTACAACCAAAGTAAAAGACCTAACTGATCTTTTGGGAAATCTTGCTTGGAGTTGAGGTATGTACTCTAGTTCTTAGTAGTCGATTCTTTTCATGAGACATTATTTTCAAAAATTTCCGTTCTTCAAGCTAAATATATGTTAATATTTGATGCTCATTACATAACTTCGTACACATATATGTGACATTTGAGTATAAGCTTAGGATTCCGAGAGAAAATTATAGAGTGATATCCAGTGAGGATTAGAGTCAAAGGGAAATAATTCCATGGTGTTCGAGTGTGGTTGTTTTTAAGCTTTGATTTTATGGGTTTTGGTACTACACTTACGCCATGATGCAATTTACTCAAAGTGGTATAACTTTAGTGATGCAAATGTGATTGGCTTGCATTGGTTTTTATTAACTTGTTTAAAGTGGTGTATTTAACATCTTTATTTTGTAGTAAAACGTTTGTGGGTATCGTAACTGGTAAACCCTCAGGAGACGCAACTCCTCCTACTAGGGACACCTAGAGGTTTAACAGTTTGTGGCACCTGCTAAGTGCCATCGAGTTTACCTGTGAAAGTGGTTTAGTTAGTTTTCGTTTCGTTTTTGTCTTTGTTTCTAATTTTGCTCGAGGACTAGCAAAAGATAGGTTTGAGGTAGTTGGTAAGCGCATTATTTTCTATATTTGTATACCTCTTATATTTGGTTTTTGTAGAGAAAGTTAATTAAAAATAGCATTATTACTTTACTTTCCTTATTTTCAGTTATTTTGCGCTCCTGGAAGGGTTTTGATTGAAAATCGAATTTTCGAATGTTAGTGCAAGGCCAATTGGAGAAGAAAGCTAAGACATTGAAGATCATTGTGTCAAAGTTTCATAATTTTCTACTAAGCCAAATGCTCCAGACTTGCAAGTCAAGTCAACCTAAGTTGGAATCCTGTCAGAACTGCACTGCCGTGGAATATTGAAGATTTGAAGATTTTTCTGATTTTTTCTAGTGGCGTGTGATATATGTTTGAAATGCTTAGAGATCAACCTACGTTTATCATATTTTTGTAGAATTTTTTAGAAAGTGGAATGACCCCAAAATATGCGTGCAAGTTGGCTAACGTGTTTTCAAGTAAAATAAGAATTCTAGGTTGGGAAAAAGTGAGACACATCTTGTCGTACTAGAGGTCACTTTCTCCGCCAGGATAATGAAGAGCTTGGGCCATACATAGGCCCACATTGTTGACTTTGAGGATTTATTAGTTTGGAAACTTTGTCTCCCCACGAGAATAGTCCTTGAAAGTGAGAGATTTTTAAAAAGTTAATATTACAGGCTAATTTTAAGTTAATTATGATCACTTAGGCTAACAAACTCACTCACTCACTCACAGCCGGCCAACGGAACTTAGATAAATACATAAATAGCTTTCATACTGCCTTCCCTGTATTTCCAAGTTACTTTCATCCAATTCCCTTGCAAAGAAAAGAAGAGAAAATGGCTGGAGCTTTGATCGGAGAGGCCTTCATTTCTGCTTCCATCCAGGTGATTTGTGGCAGAATTGCTTCACCTGAGTTCATCGACTTATTTCGGCACAAGAAACTCGATCAACCTCTCCTCATGAAACTGAAGAGGACCCTGTTGACCTTGAACGCAGTGCTGGATGATGCAGAGGAGAAGCAAATTGAGAAACCAGCTATGAGAGAGTGGCTTGACGACCTCAAACATGCAGTCTTTGATGCTGAGGACTTGCTGGATGTGATCAACTATGAAGCTTTGCGATGTAAGCTGGAAGGTGAAGCTCAAACAGCTGACAAATTAACCAACAAGGTGTGGAACTTCCTCCCTACCTCTCGTAATAAGTTTTATCAAAGCATGAATGTTAAGATTCAAGAGTTGTTACGAAAACTAGAAGACTTTGTACAACTGAAAGGTGCTCTTTGTCTGAGAGAAGATGTTGTGAGGAAGTTTTCACAAAGAACTCCGACAACTTCCTTGGTTCATGAACCTTGTGTATATGGTAGAGATGAAGTCAAAGAAAATTTATCAAAAGTGTTGTTCTCTGATGATGCAAGCAAGGATGATGTGTCCGTCATCACCATTGTTGGAATGGGTGGGGTTGGCAAGACAACCCTTGCTCGAATGCTTTACAATGATGATAAGGTGAAAGAAAATTTTACACTTAAAGCTTGGGCTTGTGTTTCAGAAGACTATGATGCTATCAGGGTAACTAAAAATCTTCTTGAGTCAGTCACTTCAAAACCTTGTAATACGGCAGATCTCAATTTGCTTCAAGTTGAGCTAAGAGAACAACTTAGGGGGAATAAATTTTTGTTTGTATTGGATGACCTTTGGAATGTGAAATATACTGATTGGAATTGCCTCCAAACTCCTTTTACTTCAGGGGCAAGGGGAAGTAAAGTCATCATAACAACACGGAACAAAAATGTAGCATCTTTCATGCAAAATGTTCCTACTCAACCGTTGGAACCATTGTCGCATGAAGATTGTTGGTCATTACTTGCAAGACATGCGTTTGGAAATGTAAGCTGTAGTGCATATCCAAGCTTGGAAGAAATCGGCAAGAAAATTGCACGAAAGTGCAATGGGTTGCCTTTAGCTGCACAAACACTTGGCGGTATGTTACGTTCCAAGCTAGACTTTGAGGTATGGAACAGAGTACTAAACAGCAGCATTTGGGAGTTACCTTATGAGAAAAGTGACATTCTTCCCGCTCTAGGATTGAGTTACCATTATCTTCCAGCTAAGTTAAAACGATGCTTTATTTATTGCTCAATTTTGCCAAAGGACTATGAATTCAAGGTAGAAGATGTTGTTTTTCTTTGGATGGCAGAAGGTTTAATTTCCCAAGCGGAGAATGGGGACAACATGGAAGAAGTGGCTAAGGAATATTTTAATGAATTGTTATCCCGATCATTGTTTCAAACGTCGGGAAAATCAAGTTTCATTATGCATGATCTCATAAATGACTTGGCTGTGTTCATGTCTAAAGGATTTTGTTCTAGGTGGGAAGGAAGGGAATCTCATGAAGTAGAAAGAGTTCGCTATTTGTCATATGCTAGGGGACGTTTTGATGTTGCTCCGAAATTTGAGCCATTAAAGGGGGCTAAATGTTTGCGGACCTTCTTGCCTACCTCTTTAAATACTTATCAAGTGTATCTAAGTAAAAAGTTTGTACAAGATTTGTTGCCCCATCTAAGATGTTTACGGGTGTTATCATTGTCACATTACAAGAATGTCATTGAGTTACCTAATTCTATTAAAAATCTTATTCACTTGCGCTATTTGGATCTCTCTGGTACTGCAATTGAAAGCTTACCTGGTGTACTTTGCAGTTTGTACAATTTGCAGACATTACTATTGTCAAATTGTTCATCTCTCACTGAATTACCTGCAGACTTGAGAAAATTGATAAATTTACAGAAATTAATGCTGGGAGGTTGTGCGTCTCTTGCTAAATTGCCTGTTGACCTGTGGGAATTAAATAGTTTGCATCATCTTGATGTGAGTGGAACTAAAATTGCAGAGATGCCAATGCAAATGGGTAGACTAAAAAGTTTGAGAACGTTGACTGCTTTTGTTGTGGGGAAATCTACTGGGTCGACCATTGGGGAATTGGGGCAGCTTCCACATCTTCGAGGAAAACTTTCAATTCTAAAACTGCAAAATGTAGTTGATGCTAAGGATGCAGTGCAGGCCAATTTGAAGAATAAGAAGGATCTAAAGGAGTTAAAGTTCGAATGGGGCGATGAAGACTCAGATGATTCCGAAAAACTGAGAGATGTACTTGACAAGCTCCAGCCTTCAATTAGTTTGGAGAAACTGACCCTCCAATTCTACAGTGGAACCAACTTCCCGAATTGGTTAGGAGACTCATGCTTCTCTAACATACAAGTCATGCGCCTTAGCGATTGTAAATATTGTTGGTCGCTGCCACCAGTTGGGGGGCTACCTGCTCTCAAAGAGCTCTATATAGAAAGGATGCACTTTGTTAAGACAATTGGTGTTGAGTTCTACGGCAGAAATGGAGCGTCTCTAATTCAGCCATTTCAATCACTGGAGAAGCTAGAGTTTAAGGAGATGGCAGAGTGGGAGGAATGGGTACCAAGTGGAAATGGAGGTCCAGACTTTCCTCGTCTCCAGGAGCTGATTATAGAAAAGTGTCTGAAGCTGAGAGGAAGCTTACCTTGTGATCTGCCTTGCTTGAAGAAGCTTAGCATGGACAGGTGTGGGGTTTTGCATGATCAAAGGAGCACTCCTACTACTACTAGTAGTACTAGTCTCAACTACAATTCTCTTGAAGAATTGAAAATAAAAGATGGATGCCAAACAGGTCTGTTATCATTACTAGAGACAAAGCTCCTGTCCAAACTTTACATTCAAAATTTTGATGACATACAGTGCTTGCCCAACATCAATCGTCTTCAAAGATTGACTCTCTGGAATTGTCCAACGCTGTCGTCGTTCCCTGAAGATGGCCTACCCACTTCGGTGACATCACTTTTAATAGTTGATTGTAGGATATTAGAATTCCTACCTCTAGAGATGTTGGCCAAATTAACATCACTTGACTATTTGTTGATACATAATAGCTGTGATTCAATGAAGTCGTTCCCCTTGGGCATTTTTCCCAAATTGACGACACTTGAAATTGGTTATTGTGACAATCTGGAATCGCTTTGCTTGATTAAAGAAGGAGCGGTTCTCAGTCATCTAAATAAACTGAATTTCTATGTTTGTCCAAATCTGGTGTGTTTTCCCCAGGGAGGATTGCCCACTCCCAACCTGACTTCGCTGCAAGTTGATGAGTGTGAGAAGTTGAAGTCATTACCTGAACGCATTCACACCCTCACAGCCCTTGAAAGTTTGTGGATAAGGAATCTTCCAAATCTGGAGTCAATTGCAGAAGATGGGGGTTTGCCTCCCAACCTCCGAGATTTTAGCATTGAGAATTGTGAGAGACTGAGGGCTGCATCTTCATCAGTGGGAGACTACTGTAACTGGGGTTTGCAAGCACTTGTCTCCCTTGAACGTTTTGCAATTCGTGGCATGGGAAGTGATGAAATCTTGGAGACGTTGCTCAAGCAACAGCTGCTCCCTACCACTCTTCGCACTCTCTGGATCGAGGAACTTTCAACTCTGAAATCTTTGGATGGAAAGGGACTTGCACACCTTACTTTTCTTCGAAGTCTAGAAATTAGTAGGTGTGACAATCTCCAATTCCTGCCAGGAGAGACACTTCAACACCTCACTTCTCTTCAAGGGCTATATATTTATGACTGTCCGAGTCTCCAATTCCTGCCAGAAGAGGGTCTGCCACCATCTTTTTCTTATCTGAGCATCTCCAATTGTTCTGCCCTGGAGAAAAGGTATCAGAATAAGACGGGACAAGATCATTGGGCCAGCATATCTCACATTCCATGCATCCAGATAAACGATGAAGTCATCATATTATGATATGACCCTCTCTCTCTCTTTCACATAGAGACGACAAACAAAGTATTCTATTGCTTAGGTCAGGTATCTACTTCAAATAACCGCTTGAAGTGCTTTTATTCTAGTTCAATAAAAAAACTGAAATTCACTGTCCAAATAAACCGGAATTCACATTTTTAATTCAACTATTTTTATGACCACAAATTTGTTGAATTGCCCCAAATTTGCCATCAATTTTGCATCCATTTTCATCGAATGCTTTCTGTTGTTCAGCACTTTTTTATTATTTTATAATTCATATTCATTTTTGGCTTATAACCACACCGTAGGCATACTCTGTCAATAATCGAATCTTCAGTTCCTATAGTAAGTCTCAAATGCTGAATAATTAATACTCTTTTTGCAGGACAGCACCTTCTCTTGGAAAGCTTTTCATTTGCAAGGTTCCTTTACGTGTCATTTCCAGGGTAGGGTTTACCATTGTTCATAGACTTTTGTTTTTCTACAAAAGCAATTGTCACAACGAGGGGAGATGGAAAGTTTCATCTGGAGTATCTGGATTGACACATTCCTTTATTGTTGTTTATTTGGTGCTCTTTTGACTTTCAGAGGTGTTTTCAAATTTGAGAATCCAGTAAATGCATGCGTACATATATTGAAAGTATTCCACATGATTTCTTCTCGAAGAATTTTCGCGATAATATTTTCTTTTTAGATTTCCTGATGATTGCAACACCTTCTAATTTCTTTTTCTTTGCATTTAGAAGTATCTTGCTGAGCTGAGGTATGGAAACGGAAAGCACTTTGGTTAACATCCACATTGAATAGCGGTGAGAAGAAACAGGATTTCACAATTGGATGCTGAACCTGAACACATAATGTATCAGAAAACACATGAAGGTAAAGCTCTGTGCATGATCTTTCCTTTGCCTTTAATTTCTGGAGGTGTCTTAAATTTGCCATTAGCAATTGGAATAACGGTTGTCACTTACCGACAATTTAAAGTTGGGGACCTCTAATCACTTGGGATAACGGTTGGCCATGCCATTCTTTGATTCTGTCTTGTTTTATGGGCAGGTATCAATGTTGGGGACCTCTAATCACTGTCACTTTTAGCTTGTATGTCTGAAGTTCACCGACAATTTCTCAGAAGCTTATGAGAGCTCTTTTTATTTGCAAGGTTTCTTTACATGAGCTTATTTGCAGGTTTCACCCACACAATTTGAAGTTCACCGACAATTTCTCAGAACCTTATGACATTATTGCGTTGTGTCCAAAAGTGACATACCATTGTAGGAGATTAGAATTCCCACCTCACTAGATGTTGTTTAAGTTGACATCGCCCGAGTTTTGTGTGTACAAAATAGCTGTGACTCAATGAGGTCGTTCCCGTTGAGCCTTTTCCCCAAACTCTCGGTTCTTATCATTTGGGAGTGTGAGAATCTGGAATCCCTTTCCATTGAAGGAGTTGATGAGAATCTCAGTCACCTCAGTACCTTATCTATCAATGACTGTCCAGAACTGGTGTCTTTTTCCCAACGCATTCACACCCTCACAGCACTGGAGATGACTGAACTTCCAAATCTAGTGTCATTTGCAGAAGGCCGTTTGCCTCCTAACCTCCGATATTTCTGCATTCATAATCGTGACAGACTGAGGGCTTCAGTGGGAGAGTACTGGGGTTTGCAAGGCCTTGTCTCCCTTGAACACTTTACAATTGGTGGCAGGGGAAGTGACGATTTCTTGGAGACGTTGCTCAAGGAACAGCTGCTCCTTTCCACTCTTCACACTCTCCGCATCGGGGGACTTTCAAGTCTGAAATCTTTGGACGGAAAGGGACTTGGGACACCTCACTTCTCTTCAAGAGCTATATATTAGTGAGTGTGACAGTATCCAATTCCTGCCAGAAGAGGGTTTCCCGCCATTTCTTTCGTTTCTGAGAATCTCCAACTGTTCTGGCCTGGAGAAAAGGTATGAGAATAACTGCTTTAACTGGTTTTCTTCTAATTGAATCCAACACCCAAAATACATTATTTTTCTTTTCAAAAAACCCAAAGTAAATGTTAAAGTAAACCAAAATACACATTTTAAACTATTTTTATGTCCCCACATTTGTTTTCTTATTTAGATATCAGAGAATAACCAAGTCTTTCTGGAACGGGATTTGCCATTGATTTTGATTTAATGCTGCTTCCCAGAATTATGTTCTTCATTTCTAGCCTATAATTACATTCTGACTGTCAATTAATTTTCTGATGATCATAATAATTTTCAAGAAAAACAATTTGTGCTTAACACAAAAACTCAATCTGATTCCCATTATTATTTTTCTCTGTGAAGTGTTGTTCTATTTACTTTATTTCTCTGTAAAGTGTTGTTCAGCTAACCATAACCTATGTTTATACCAAAATGAACACCCAATGAACATCAACCACGTGGACTATTCCAGCACTACGTGTGCCTTCGGCACTCACCTTCGGTACAGGACCTACCGATCACATCATTAGGGCAACCTTGCCCGCTCTGGCACGTGGCAGCTCCACGATTGATGCCCAGAGTCCCACATCGAAACTCTAAACAAATTGCACACCTCCCAAGGCCTATAAAAGAGGACACCTATCCCAGCCTGAAGGTAATCAATCAGAACTTACGGCATACTGCCTATTGATCTGCAGTTAAAACTTACTAAATCCGTACTTACTTAAGCATCGGAGAGCCTTCGGCCGGTACCACACCGGTGCCCTAGGATTTACCGTGTGTTTGCTATCTTACAGATCGCACACCCTACCGAGGACATCAGATACCGAAGAGACTTAATCACTAAGTTGCGCGGGAAAGTGCAGAACCATTTTTCTGCGTCAACAGTTTGGCGCCGTCTGTGGGAAATCGATATAATCGACCTACAATTCCTAAACAAAACAAATGGGAACCACTTCAGGACAACAGTTCCTATCAGAGGATGGATTACCGTACGGTATGCCAAGTGGAGCAAGCCCCGCGCTGCACCCTAGCACTCCCTTTGGTAATCCACCTGCGCTTCAGACCACGGTCGAAGCAGAGCTTTTGGCTCAGATGACCTCCCTCCGAAAGGAGATGGCTAAACTCCAAGAACGTAACAATCTCCTCTCGTCCAAAGTGGACGAAACCCAACGGTTGCTTAATCAGCAGGAAACGCAAAACGTTCGGACCACCGAATCTTCCCAGAGTCAGCAGACCCCCGGTCGGCAGAAGAAGGGAAAACAGGGGGCAAAGGCAACGCCTGCGCCTTCCAAGCAGCTGGTAGTCCCGGCACCCCAGGACCAACCGCACGTACCGAAGAAGGTATACACCGACTGTCGTCATCGGATCAACGACAAGAAGGATGCCGAACGGCATAGGTCCCCAATCAGACTAAACGCCAACTTGAGAGACTCCCGGATGAGGGTCTTGGGGGACAAGTCGCCCCTTCGGAGGGCTCAGGGTTTGGATTCGGCGCAGGAATCCGACAATGAGTACATCCCCACCAGGGACACCGAATCGAGCTACCGTTCGGAAGCTCCCCCGGAGTACTCAAAGGCGAGATCGCCAAGTCCGAGGAAAACTTCCGAAGACTTTGATTCCGAGGATGTCCACAGCCGAGACCCCGCCATCCGACTACTTTTTCAAAGAATCCAGAAGATGGAGGAAGACCGAACCCGATCCCAGGTCCCAGACTGGGGAAAACTTCGACCCGGGCCCTTTACCGAGCGCATCAAGAGATCCAGACCAGACAGGGAGGTGCAGCCGTTGCGCATACCCTTCTATACCGGTGTGGAGGGCCCTCTGACGCACCTTCACTCTTTCCAATCGGCAGTTGGATGTAAGGGCCTTAGCGACGAGGGACAATGCCTGCTGTTCCCCTCGTCCCTTACCGGAGCTGCACTGAACTGGTTCTACCGTCTCGAGCCGGGGACGGTACACTCCTTTGAAGAACTGAAGCAGATCTTCCTCAACCACTTCATGATCCAGACGGACCGTTTGTACTCTGCCGATGATCTATACACGATTCGGCAAAGGGAGGACGAACCCCTACGGGAATACGCAGCGCGCTTCAGTCACGAGTACTCGAGGTGTCCCGAAACGGACGATAGGGCAGCCTACGGCGCCTTCAAGAGTGGCCTACGGTCCTCTCACTTCCGATATCTCGTGCACAGTAGCAACTGGCGCACGTATGACGAGTTAATGAAGCAGGCGGCAGTCCATGCGAAGGCCGAATACTTCAACTCCAAACCCGGGCCTTCGGCTCGGAAGGAGGAATCGGCAGCCAAAAGTTATCCCGGCCGAACCGAGGACCCGTCGGCAGGGCACAAACGGAAGGACGACCGGGATGGCCGTCAGGGAAACTCGAAGAAGGGACGTGGGAAGTACGGTCGTAACGACCACCGAGCACCCCTACCGAATCACGATCGTGCTCAGGAAGTCTTCACCCTGCTGAACACGACGTATGAAACCGTTCTAATGAACGAACACGACCAGATCCCGAAGCCGACCAACCGGAAGCCCAATCGGCAGGATAATCGGGATACTGGCAAATTCTGCCGATATCACCAGCAGAACAGCCACAATACCGAAGACTGCATCAGTCTAAGGAAAATTGTCGAGCGCCTGATTCGGGAGGGGAAGTTGGATCAGTACCTTGCCAGGCCGCCGCAAGCCCCGGCACCGAATGCGAATCGGCAGATCAACATGATCAACACGATCAGCGGTGGCCCCACCCTGGCGGGACCCTCCAACCGCTCGGCGAAGCAGTATGTGCGCGTCGCCCATTGCCTTCAGGTCTTCGGCATAACGGAGGATCGGTGCCGAAAGTTGTCAAAGGTGGGATGGGAGCCCATCACGTTCAGTGAAGAAGAAGAGGAGGGGATCATCTACCCCCACGACGACCCAATGATCATTCGGGCCGAGATCGCCGATTACGACGTGTGTCGGGTACTGATTGACACCGGAAGCTCGGTGAACGTAATCTTTGCCGATGCGTTCAAGGGACTGGGGATTGCGGATAGCATGGTCAATCGGCAAATCACGCCTCTCCTCAGTTTCTCTGGAGATCTGGTACAACCGGTTGGTAGCATCAGTTTACCCATTGCCTTCGGCATGGCCCCCCGGAAGACCATGACCTATGACCAATTCCTCATTGTTGACTGCCCAACAGCGTACAACGTCATCATAGGGCGAACGGCACTCACCAGGATCAAAGCCCACCTATCCACACACATGTTGCTGATGAAGTTCCCAACACGCAACGGTACCGGAGCCATCCGGGGCGATTAGCTCAGCGCGCGGACGTGCTATGCCACGGCCCTTAAGTCGGTAGCCAGCAAACCGCCAATGGAGGCCATGACCTTGCTGGGACTACCGAACGGTAACGAACCCATTGACGACCCCCGGGAGGAAAACCCAACGCCAATGGCACAGCCCGCCGAGGAGCTGGAGACCATAATCCTGAACGAGGACTTCCCCGATCGGTGGGTGAAGATCGGCACCAATCTGGAACCCGACCTCCGAAGGCAGTTCATCGACTTCTTACGGCAGCATGCGGAAGTCTTCGCCTGGTCTTATGACGACATGCCCGGCATATCACCCGACGTCATCAGCCACAAGCTCAGCATCTCCCCCGCCCACAAACCAGTCAGGCAAAAGCGCCGATCGTACGATGCCGAACGGTATGAGGCGATGCGAGCCGAAGTTGACAAGCTCAAAGCCATCGGCTTTATCAGGGAAGCTACGTACCCTGTGTGGCTTGCCAACTCGGTCATGGTTCGGAAGGCCAGAGGAGGATGGCGAATGTGCCAGGATTATACCGACCTGAATAAGGCTTGTCCGAAGGATAGTTTCCCCCTACCGAGGATTGACCAGCTCGTCGATGCCACCGCCGGGCATGAGCTGCTCAGCTTCATGGACGCGTATTCAGGATACAACCAGATCTTCATGGACCCTGCCGATAGAGAGCATACGGCATTCATCACAGATCGCGGTTTGTACTGTTACAACGTCATGCCCTTCGGCCTGAAGAACGCGGGGGCAACTTACCAACGGCTCGTCAACCGGATCTTTGCTAAATACATCGGCGGCATCATGGAGGTTTACGTCGACGACATGTTGGTAAAGAGCCGAACGGCGGGGGATCACCTTGAAAACTTGGCCCTCATGTTCGGTATTCTAAAGGACTACCGAATGCGACTGAACCCGGCGAAATGCGCATTCGGTGTATCTTCCGGAAAATTTCTCGGGTTCATGATCAGTCAAAGGGGAATCGAGGCCAATCCCGAGAAAATAAAAGCCATAATCGACATGGAGACGCCGAAGACGCAGAAGGACATTCAGAGCCTTACCGGGCGTGTCGCTGCCCTAACACGCTTCATCTCCAAGGCTACCGATAAATGCGTGCCGTTCTTCAAAGCTTTGAAAGGGGGCAAACATCATATAACATGGACTCCCGAATGCGACCAGGCATTTCAAAACTTGAAGAACTACATGAGCCAGGCACCACTGTTATCGAAACCCTTGCCAGGCGAAGTACTACTTCTATACCTTTCGGTATCCAACACTGCCGTCAGCTCGGTGTTGATAAGGAAGCCGGAGAAGGCGGAGCTACCAATCTTTTATGTCAGCAAGGCGCTCCAGAGCGCAGAGCTTCGGTACCCACCCTTGGAACAGCTAGCGCTGGCCCTGGTCGTCTCGGCGCGAAGACTTCGCCCTTACTTCCAGGCTCACGAAATCACGGTTCTGACGAACCAACCTCTTCGGCAGGTGCTCCAAAAGCCGGAAACATCTGGCCGATTGGTCAAATGGGCAATCGAGTTGGGAGAGTTTGACATACAGTTCAAGCCAAGGCCCGCAGAAAAAGGCCAAGCCGTTGCCGATTTCATCTCCGAACTCACACCTCCTGCTCTATCGGAACCGTCATCGCCGAGCGCTGTACCTGCCGAACCAGGAAAAATGGATACCGAACGTTTCGACACGTCCACTCCTCTCTGGATCCTGCACGTGGACGGCTCGGCAAACCAGCAAGGCTGTGGCGCCGGCCTAGTGTTAACCACTCCAGACGGTAGCAAGATCGAGTACGCCCTCCGATTCAGCTTCCGAACCTCCAATAACGAGGCAGAATATGAGGCCCTCTTGGCTGGCCTTCGGCTAGCCCAAAGCATGAGCGCGAGGCAGATCAGCATTCACAGCGACTCCCAGCTCATAGTAAACCAGATAACGGCAGACTTCGCAGCAAAGGATGCCTCAATGTCAGCTTACCTGTCGGCAGCCCACCAGCTACTACAGAAATTCCAAGCCTATGAGATACGGCAGATCCCCAGGTCGGAAAATAGCCATGCCGACGCACTCTCACGTTTGGCCTCGGCAATAAATGACAAGGTCGGAAGGAAGGTACCGGTGGAGATACTATCCCAACCAAGTACAACCGCCGCTGAGGTATGTACCGTTCGGTACGAGGAGACCTGGATGTCTCCAATCTACGCCTATCTGACAGCCGGAACCCTTCCTGCCGATAAGTCGCAAGCTCGGAAACTTCGCTACCGATCGGCAAGATACACAGTCATCAACGATGTTCTGTACAAACGAGGCTACACGACGCCGTACTTAAAATGCCTGACCAAAGAGCAAGGGGACTACATCCTTCGGGAGGTCCACAGCGGAATCTGCGGGGACCATTCTGGTTCCCGATCGCTCGCACACAAGGTCTTCCGGCAGGGTTATTTCTGGCCGACTCTGCACCAGGATGCCAACACACTAGTCAAGAAGTGCGACAAATGCCAACGGTTCGGAAGTGTCCCTCACATTCCCGCCGAGCCACTGTCACCGATCGTGAGCCCATGGCCGTTCGCCCAATGGGGACTGGATCTAATCGGTCCGATGCCCGAGGGCAAGGGTCAGGTAAAATACGCTGTTGTTGCCGTAGACTACTTCACCAAATGGGTAGAAGCCAAAGAACTAGCAACGATAACGGCAGCCAGAATCGAGGATTTCGTTTGGACAAACATTTGCTGCCGATTTGGCATCCCCTACGCGATCGTCACGGATAACGGCAGGCAATTTGATTCGGAAGTTTTCCGGCAATTTTGCAAACGACTCAAGATCAACCTGTTCTTTGCTTCGCCAGCACACCCCCAATCGAACGGACAGGTCGAAGCCATGAACAAAATTGTCAAGAAGCTGTTGAAACGGCAGCTTGACAAAGCCAAAGGGGCATGGCCAGAAAAGCTTCCGGAGGCGCTATGGGCCATACGGACATCTTACCGAACGGCAACGGGGGAAACACCATTCTCCATGGCTTTCGGTTCAGAGGCAGTAGTCCCAGTAGAGATCGGAGAACCCTCCTACCGAACGGGAACCTTCGCACCAAAGGCAAATGAGGAAGCGCTAGCTCTGAGCCTCGACTTACTCGAAGAGCGCCGAGCACAAGCCAACCTTCGGAACGAAGCCTACAAACAACGCGTCTCTCGGTACTATGACTCCAGGGTCAAGTCCCGCTCTTTCCGAGTCGGAGATTGGGTCATGCGGAAAGTCTCCTTGGCAACCAAGAATCCCACGGAAGGAACCCTCGGACCTTCCTGGGAGGGACCCTACGAGATCATCGGTATCCAGCGGTCGGGGACTTACCGACTCAGAGACTCCAATGGAAAGACCCTCGGTCACCCTTGGAACATAGAGCATTTGAAGTACTACTTCAAATGAAGTCACCTTGCCTACGGCAGGGTCACGGAAGAATCACAAAAGCCTTCGGCATCTCTACAAACACAGCTTCCGGCATTATAGCGTTACCAAGCCAACGGCGGGTTCTATATTGTAAAACGCGCTCATAATTGTAATCTCGCCTTCGGCGGTTTATCAATAAAAAGGGCCTTCGGCTCACATATTCGGCACCTTTGTTATATCTTTCAAATCTATCCATTTTTTGTTCAAAAAAAAAGGGGTACGGTAGGGACCATCGGTCGCAGCTAACTACGCATTTTGGCATCGCCATTATCCTACCGATTAAAAGACCACTTGGTAAACTTTACTGGACGTTGTAGGCCTTCGGCAATTACTTGCCATTGCTTTACAATCGGAACCCCCTGCGTAAAAGGAAAGTCACTGGCCAACGGCAAGTGACCTTTGTTTAAAAACTTTCGGCATTAAACAGAAAAATTTCCTAAATACGCTACCGATTCAAAAGTAAGATGCAAAGATATTAAAGTGAGAACATGAACTTTAAATTGAAAAATGCCTACGGCATTAATTATCCAAAACAAGAGATGCCAACGGCATCAGAGTTAGTACAAAATTACCAAAGGTACAGGAAATCAAAATTACATTAAGGAAGAAAGGTTCAGGACGACGGGTCCTCGGCATTCGCCCCATCGGCACCAGCAGCTTCGTGTTCCTCCGGAGCGTCTTCTCCTTCGTACTCTTCAATCATCCCTTCTGTCACGCCTTCGGGAAGGGGAGGGGGATCGGCAATGAAGTTCAAATTGAGCTTCGTCCCAGGATTGTACCGCTTGAATCGGTAGATGAGATCCACCATCTCCGAGCCCACCTCCTTGTCGAGCAAGGTAGAGAAATCGGTAGAGTGGCGATACTTCTGAATGGCCTCCTGGACAGCAGCCTCAATCTCCGACGCCTTGGCCCGCTCCGACTCCTCCAGAGCCACCTCAACGGCGTCCTTCGCCTCCAGAGCCTCCTTAGCCGACAGCTGTGCCGATTCCAGGGCAGACGACAGATCCGCGAACTTGGACTCGTAAGCCTTGACCTGCCGTTCGGCAGCTTGTAAGTCCTTCACCAGGTTCGCATGGTCCTGGATAGCCTTGCCAGCCTCGGCAACCCTGGCCCTGCCGTCCTCGTAGGCCTTCTTCGCCTTCTCAGAGGCATTGATGGCCCGCTTCATGCAAAGCCACATGTCCATCGAAGCCTGCAAAACAACGAGCATGTCAGCAAAGATACAAATATGATCGGTAACCTGGACCGGAGAGTGTTCTGGACTTACCGATGCCTGAAGACGGAAGGCGCGACCCGCCTCCTCCCGAAGGAGCCTCTTCGGCAGCTCCTCGATTTCGTTCAGCTCCATTTGCGAACCGATAATCATATGGTTCGCGAACTGGACCGCCTTCGACGGACAGGCCAGGGTGACGGGATCGGCAGGCTCCTCGTCATTATCGGCCGCAAAAATAGCCCGAGTCGGCTCAGCCTGCCGTCCGCGCTTTGGGGCCGGTTCGGCATCCAGGTCAACAGTGAAAGGCCGTTTGCCGGTGGCTCGGGAGGAAGTCCCTTCGGTAGTGGTGCCTCAGCGGGGAGAAGGGTCGGCCGCTGCCGCTCTGGTCTGTGCCGATTCGGCGTTAAGCTCACGCAGACGGTCGGCCAACGTCTGGTCCTCAGGGTCGACCGATGCCGAACCTTGCGGCTGGGTTTTCTTCTTCTTCCCCTGGAAGCCCATCATGAGACGCCGTTTGGAGGACTCGTTCATCCTCTTGGCCTCGGCAGCTCTCCTGTCTTCCGTCACTGCGAGAAATGGGTTCGGTAAGACCTGCAACAGAACAAAAGGAACGATACAGAACAAAAGGAACGATTTGTAAATTACGAAGTGTACTTACTCTCGGCAGGATCGATCAGTTGGGCTCGGATGAGATTGGCGGTGAAGAGGAACTGCGGATACACTCTCTCCTCGGCAGGGACTTTCCTCCTCACCCTCTCCACCTGCTGAATCTCGGCCTGTGTTGCGATCGGCTGCTTCAGCTTACCTACAAAAGAGGAGAAAGGAAATGTTACTTACGGTAGACAGATAACTCAAAGAAGGTACCGAACGGCACGTGGTCCTACCGGCCATTTGGAAAGTTGTGGGAATGCGGAATCGAACAGGCTGTCCCGAAGGCGACTCCCAATCGCCCGAGAGGAGCACCCGCCGATTCCTCCACGACTTCTGTGAAGTCGGTACCCAACTGACGAAGTGGCCTCGATCGGTAGCCCTGAGGCAGTTCGCCTGCACCCATCCACCGTGATCGGCACATTTGGACTTTGTGACACTGTAGAGGTGGGAGAACTGCTCGTAGGAAGGGCTCCCTTCGCCAGCCATACCGAAGGCGGTTATGACTCCCATGAGAGCCACCCAAAAGTTGGGGTTGAATTGCCCCGGGGCATAGCCGATCTGGGCTAGAATCCTCTGCACCGCCGGCTGCAACGGCAACCGAACGCCTTGCACGAGGACGTCGGTAAAGAAAACTACTTCGCCGTCCTTCGGCGCGCTAAGGGATTCGGTAGGGCCCGGGATCCTTATCCGAACCGAGTCGGGAATACGATACTCTGCTCGGAGCTTGGCAATCTCCCGATCGGTAATCTTGTTCGGCCCAAGATAGTCTACGCCGAACAGGTTCTCCTTCGGCACCCCCATGGGCACCCTAGGGTTGCTTGGATACACAACCGATACCCTGGGCCCAGATGGCGGATTGGCTACCGACTCTCCACGGCCGGAAGTGGAGGTCTCCGACCGACGGCTGCCGCTCGCCTCCCCAGGCATACCGAGGCCCACGTGGCGGCCGTCACTGTAGACGATGGACAACGGAATGGGAGCGGTCATCAGCCCCTTTCCGATTCCGTGCGTTGGGATAGAGCTGGGCCCTTCGCCGAGTATCTCGACGTCGGTATCACTCCCGCCCTCGACATCAGGCCCTGCCGCTTCACCGTCGGAGTCAAAGAGACCGTCCGATGACTCCTCGTCGAAAGCGTTGGGCTCGCGCTCGGAATATGACTCGCTATCAGACATCTACAAAAACAGGAAGAAGGGAAACTAAGGCTCATGCCGGATACTATCCTACCGATTCCTACATCGCTACCTATGGCGACTAGACTACCGAATGGAACCCTATGGTCAGTCTAGTTCGAACCAAGGAAGGACGTAACCCTAAAAGCATGTAAAGAGAAGGGTGCCGAACGGTACCTTAAGGTGTGCCCTGGAAGATAAGCGCGATCTGCTCTTCGGGATGCTTCACCACCGTTTGCAATGCCAGGAATCGCCTTTCCTACCGTTCGAAACGCCGGAGATCGCCTTGTTACCGATAACACTCACCGGAAATCGCCTGTCTACCGAAAGCCCTCGTCGGAAATCGCCTCAGACAGAGCTCTCACTTCTCACTAGATGCAAAGTGAGTGCGCATCCGGGGTCATCCCTATTTATAAGGGAAATGGCTGGCAACGGTACTCCTCGAAAAACCAAACGGCGCATGGCGCGCCATCATTACTTTCGCCACGTGTCATTCACCCAATGGAGAACTGACGGCACGCGAGGCGCGGAAGTCGAAGCGCTCAGACGTCTCTTCGCCCATCAGATCGACGCGACCTTCTGACTTCGCCAACGTCAGCCTCTGAGCTGGTCATGCCGGGAGGAACAAGGTTTTGCCCCTCCCCCAGTGGGGTTACCGAACGGTAAGGCCGTGTTTTCTCCCGAGGACGAATTCAAATCCCCTTCCGAAGACTCTCGCAAGGGGACTTGGTTGACTCCTGTTTATACCAAAATGAACACCCAATGAACATCAACCACGTGGACTATTCCAGCACTACGTGTGCCTTTGGCACTCACCTTCGGTACAGGACCTACCGATCACATCATTAGGGCAACCTTGCCCGCTCTGGCACGTGGCAGCTCCACGATTGATGCCCAGAGTCCCACATCGAAACTCTAAACAAATTGCACACCTCCCAAGGCCTATAAAAGAGGACACCTATCCCAGCTTGAAGGTAATCAATCAGAACTTACGGCATACTACCTATTGATCTGCAGTTAAAACTTACTAAATCCGTACTTACTTAAGCATCGGAGAGCCTTCGGCCGGTACCACACCGGTGCCCTAGGATTTACCGTGTGTTTGCTATCTTACAGATCGCACACCCTACCGAGGACATCAGATACCGAAGAGACTTAATCACTAAGTTGCGCGGGAAAGTGCAGAACCATTTTTCTGCGTCAACAACCTATATCCTATTTAAGTTGAAAATGCTGAATAATTAGTGTTCTGTTTTCAGGACAACATGCCTTCTCTTCGAGAGCTTTTCATTTGCAAGGTTTCTTTGCGTGTCGTTTCCAGAGGAGGGTTTACCATTGTATATAGCCTTTTGTTTTTCTACAAAAACAATAGTCACAACGTGGAGAAATGGAAACGTTCACCTGGAATATTCAATTGACACATTCCTACATACAGGCACGGAGTGTCCTTACTACATCCAGAGCATATTGGTAGATTTTATATGACTCTTTAGATTAATAGCAGCATCAACTGGGGCCTTTATGACTCTATTATGTAATTAATTATTCTCTTTTTGTTTTTGTACTGTTAAAAGGAGTCAGCCATGCGGAATAAAAAGTAAGGATGGGAGCCATCTTATTTGATACAGTTTTTCAAAAGTGTTCATTCATTCTATTGTTCTTCAACAATGGAGGAATTTATTTTCCCTATCTGCCTGGTCCGTCTGCTGCTTCATTGCCTAGCAGCTTTATCTATATAGTTGCGGCGGGTTAAGGAGGTAAGATTGAGCTGGATTAACCCTGCTTCGTGTAATGCATTGTTGTTTGTGAAGGTTAAATTTTTTAGAGGAAAGAAGTGGGCTATGGTTTTGGGAGATATGATGCATTGACAATTTACTGGACTGTTTGGTGTAATAGGCATAGGATGGTCTTTGATGATATGAAGTGAGAGGTAGTGTGGATCAGTTGTGGAAGAGGGTTCATTTTTCGAGCTCCTTATATTGGACTTTGTATCCTTGGAGTTTAGGGAGTTTTCTTTCTCTGTCATCTATTCAAATAGGTAAGCTGCTGTAATTTAGATCTTTCTGATGGAATGCTTCTGTTTTGTTCATTTGGTGTTCGAGTTGTTCTGTAATGGTTTTTATTTTTTTGATGGAAAAAAGTTTAGGGGGAGATTGGCTACTCTCACCACCAGCGCCAGGGCATACCCACAACCTCAAGCCGGAAGGACTTACGCGTGGCACCTAACTGCCAACTGTCACCGGTATGAATTTACGTAGGAATTTACAGATCGCGCACCAATGAGATACTTTGTTTTGGCTTGCACATAAGTTGTGTTTCTCATTTATAAAAAAAGGAATAAGTTTTGTACATATGCACAATTTACAAAGATACATAAATAGGACTATAAGTTGAGGGCATATTACATAGCTAGAGGGTATGTATATCAACTAAGGATCAGTTAACCTGTTTTTCGAGCCTAATTCCAAATTTCCAGGAGTAGCATCTTCCCACATGATTGAGATATTCTTATGGTAATTGGCATATATATTGCATTTATAATATCTTATGTGCAAATGATTTTCTCTTTTTGTCCCACAAATCATTCCTTTAGCTGCAAAGTTCTATTTCATGAAACTTGAGATGTTACATGTGTACTTGCAGACTTGAGAAATTCTCCCCTGTCTGGAGGACAAAACAACTTGTGTAGGCAACCATGCATGATTTCCGAGTTGAAGCTGATGTTGCAATCATAGATGTCACCTTAACTGCTTACTTCAATGTAAATGCCTTTCTCTATAAGGGTCTACGTAGATTAATTTCTCAGCAACATTTGATATGGATCATTTAGAATCCTATTTCCATCAATGTTTTAATTTTTAACTTTGTCCGATTTTGTTTCCTGAGACTTGAGATGTTATATGATTCCATGGTGCATTTAGAACCTAAACATAAAAAATAAATTCCTGTTTTCATTTATTTATGCGATTCGAATTTGAACTTCTCGTTGGCACATGTGGAAAATGTTTGTCAGATTAGACTTCTCCGACGAATGCCACCTCTGCCGACCAAATTTCGTCGGGAGAGGTTTTTTTTTGTTTTTGAATTTTAAAAATATAAAATTAAGTTCTTCACTTTTGTTTTTTGGCCAACTTCTTTAATTTAATATATGTGATTAAGTAATATCTTAGCTTTTTTGAATAACTTTTAATTAGTAATTACGTTTTAATTATTATTTCTTTAGTGAATTTTTAAATATGTTACTGATTTAATTCTATTGTGCAAAAACGAAAAAATAAATTACTCATTTTCGTTTGGGTGTCTTAATTAAATCTTCCCAAAGCCCAAGATTGAGAGCGAAACCTAAATCGTAAAGCCCTGGGTCGGGTTACGTGATTATCCGACCCTAATTGAGTCCTAAGTGCCCTACAATAGGTTTACAATTAGGGTTCGAGGCTTGCAAACAGTTTTGGAACAAGTTCGGATAAGTTCGAAAGCTATGGTTTTTGTTTCGAGACTCGGATTTTTGGTTTGGAGGCTAAAATTCCATTTTTAGAATAATAAAATAATTTTCTAGAATTTTTAAATAATTGAAACTATTTTTAAAATAATTTTACATTCCACAAAATTCTTTAAGATCATTAAACATAATTAATTAATTTTTATTAAGTAATTTTTATGAAATTAATTCAAATATTTAAATACTAATTCTTCACTAAATAAATAAAAGTAATTAAAACATAATATGTTCAACGGCTATACCTTTAAAATATTATATTTACTATTCTATACCTTTAAATAGTATAGCCGCGCGGCCATACTCCGTAAATATAATATTTTAACCGTATAGCCGCCCGGCTATACCCCAAAATATTATCTTATACTCTAAAAATATAATATCTTAACAGTCGCACGGCTATAACCCAAAAAAAGAATATTTTAAAGTATAGCCGTCCGGCTATACCCTGTAAATAGCACTAAGAAAACACCTCTCCCGACAGACCAAGCATGTTCATACATGGTGTGGCTAACTCATTTCATCATTTGAGACAGAACATCTGCCTTCAACTGTCTGCTCAGTCAATAGACTTTCAACATATCTCAAGTGCAATGGAAAATTCACGAGTTACATAAAGATTCGCAATGATTTTTCTGTTCGAAATTTTCTACTGGAGGCTGGAAATGCTTCTTATAAGTGGTTAAGTTGCAATATATTTTGTAGGATCAAAGGCCGTCCAGAGAGACCTTGTGCATATTTTTTCGAATTATTATAGATATATTGACTTTCCTGGGCAATGAATACGTTATATTAGCACAATGCATGCCCATAGAAACATAACACAAATCAGTTAGGTTAAGTTCCAACTCTAGAGGCAGTCCAAAGGCATAAACAAATAAATCTCTTGTCGACCCAAAAAAAACCCCCTCAAACTCTTGCAATACAGCAACTTCAGCACCTTGAAACCTGCAACCTCCATTGTGCCCTAGAAGTCAGCGGTTCGAAACACGAAAGAGCGCCTCTCATCACTTTGTTTGAAGCCTCAAAGTGAATTCCTGCAAAGTCGGAAGAATTTCCTTCAACGTCTCCTTGTCCTGTGCATCAACCAAGTTGCTATCACTGTCGAACTTTTCAGGAGCTTGAGTCCATCCAAGAAAAACTCGGGCTTCTTGATGAAATGAAGGTCGAGAGACAGTCCGACTTGGCAAACATGATCTTGGGATTAGCCACCACCAAAGCCTCCACAAGTTGGGAATTGTGGAACACTACTGAAAATCGCCTTTGTCAAAATATCCGCCAATTAATTACTTCACAAAATTAAGGAAAATGAATCTCTTTAGCCTCAAGCTTCTTTTTGTGTGGCTAAAGTTAGGATGAAGCATGACCATTTTCTCACAAACACATTGCCCAAGTGCCATAGATGTTCAAACTTGACATCACTCATCTGCAGCAAATTAAGACTGTTTTCTACTACATGTTGACGCATTAAAAGCCTAAAGAGGGGTATATAAAGAGTAAAGATAAAGGAGGCCGCACCGCCTGTCATTGTGCTAAGCACATCAGTGCTCATTGGTATCCTTATTAAAGCTAAACCATGATGCTAGTGCTATAAGGTCCAAAAATGCCAAGCTAAACTATGACAAGCTACTGAAGGTCGCAGAAAAATGAGGGTAAAAAACGCAAGAAAATAATTATTAAACATAGTCTACGGATAACAGAAAAATAAATTTTGCAAAGTGCGATTCAAAGACCATATAGAATAAAAACAAACATCTAATACAATCCCAAGACTGTTGCAAGTCAAACAAAACTGCTATTGTCTCCTAATACAGAATGTCATCCGTTCTTAAATGAAAACTTAGGAAACCAAACAATGTCTAAGTAAACCATTTCCTTAGGAGAGATCAGAGCTCGCTGGGCCAGCACCAAAACCACCAGCTCCACCAGATCCACCGGCACCACGACCAAAGCCAGGCCTACTACCCTGATATTTCAGGAGAAAGAAGCATACAAGTTAACAAATGCATCATTTTTCCAAAGTGAGGAAATCTTCTAATCATACAACACATTTAAGTGGGCAGTATATAAGTTTGTCAAGTCCTCAGTAACAAGGTACATGGGATCAGATAGAATACAATTCCAAAATGCAAAGAAGAATAGTATATCATCAAAAGGCAATTGATCTCCAACCCAATATATGGTAAAAGACATAGTACCTAAATGAGAAATATAAAACAAACTACTTTACAACAGAAAATTACCCCGAAAGAAGGTCTGTAGTCAGCAGGTGCTCCACCCTTGTCACCAAAATCACCCCCTGGTGCACGAGGACCTGAACGGTACCCATCCCTGTCACCAAATCTGCGTTCTCCTCCATCAAAGCGAGGTGGGCCACTGTTCACATCATCAAAACATCCATATTACATTCCAACAAACCAAAGGGTTCAACATATGAACTAGAAAAGGAAGCACATATCTGTCACAGTTTACTAACACAAATCAGTTAAATAACTTCTTCCTAAATGATCGATATCACATACTCTAGACCTTTAAATTAAACCCAAATAAAATCCAAGCTTTCTAACAAACTTCTCAATCATTCCATCAGCCAAACCACATTTCAATCGATTACAGTATTCAATACAATCTAATTTCAAACCGTCTTGCAGTTTCTTTCAGAACTCCAAAAACAAAATGATTGTTGAAGCAGTTTACCAAATTAACGACTTCCTGTACAAATTACATGCGCAAACCAACTTATCAGCTAAACCAAATAACACAAACCACCTATTTGAATCGCCATTTACATTTAGAACAAAGAACCACAGAACTCCTTCAAATAAGGCCACAGTTACAAGTCGCAACCATAAGTTATTCAAATAATCAAACCCAGTTCGCAAAACACTCAAAGAAACAATCCCAGTTACAAAAATCAATAGATCCAATAACCAATAAAGACGATGAAACAAATCAATTACCGTGGGCGGTCACCAGATGGGCCCAAGGGACGACCAGGAGGCTTGGCCTGCTTCTTCAAAGTTGCAGGGACAATCTCAGATGGAAGGTTGAGGTAGTTCCTCAAAAACTCAATACCATCATTGGTCAGGTACCAGTAGTAGTGCATCCAAGCGAAAGTTTCTCTCACATACTCCTTGGATTTGAAGCTCTGCATCAGCTTAATCACCTGCAGATTTGGCACATCGATTTCTGGGTGCTTTGCCAAGTTATAGTCCTTCTTTGCAAAGCACACTCCCTCTGTTGAAATTAAATTCAATAAATTTTAACAAAAACTGGAAACGAAGAACCAAAATTTCATTGACAATAAATAAAAATCTAAGCTTTTGTGTGTACCTTGGAATAGGTATTTGGAGATTTCTCTCCTGTTCTTCTCTGGGATGATCTAGGATAGAAAAAACGAAATGTAACAGATCAGAACCATGAACAAACACACTTTTCTTTTCTTTTTCATTTCAGTTTCACAGGAAACAAACACAGAATTGGATAGAGAAATACCATGGTTGCGAAGTTGAGCTGACGACTAGAGGAAGAGACGGCGGCAAACAAAGAAGGTCGAGGTCTCTCTCGCACTAGAGGAAGAAAATAAAAGAGAGAAACTCGTTATCTTCCAATACAGAAGATCCACATCCAATAGGTGCAAGTTTTGAGCCGAAAAAAGCTTCGGAAAATCCATGAGAATATAAACAACAATGAAGGCAAATACTATACAAAAAACAGTAAAGGCAATTCTTTTACCTGCGTTAGAGAGCCCTAAACAATGAATATAACATGTTGAACCACAGAGAACAAATGCAAATAGAATTTAAATACTGAAAAAACTGAAAAACTAGAAAGAAGGAACATCAAATAGCAAATGGAGAGGGCATCAACAATTATCAAAATGGAAATATATAAAATTTTACCTTCCTTTTACCCACAAACCAAATAAACAACAATGAGTCGAGATAAGAAGAGAAAGATGAGAAAAAATCATAACTCAGATACAGACGAAAGATGAGATATACCTGATATTGTGATGAGAGAGCAACGCAAGTACCGAAAAAACAACAATGAGTCGAGATAAGAAGAGAAGACGAGAGAACAGTGAAGAGGAGGCGGCTGGAAAAAAGATGAGTTCAATTAGGTTTTACGAAGTTATCGGGCCGGGCTTAGGGCCTTTTCCGCCCTAAAGAGTTATCGGGCCGGGTCGGGGCAGTCCTATGAAATGGGCCATTATTTTCGCTTTATTAAACTCCATTCGTTTTTTCCGTTTAAAAACTCAATTCCTTCAAATTTTGAAATAATGTTGAAACAAAATTGAAGTAGACTACAAAACAATCAAAAAAGAAAATATTTATTCTGCATCTTGGACAAACCACTCTGGCCATTCTTGTTCATCTTGTACACTCATTTTCTTCTTGTTTAATCTAATTACTTCCACAAATGCACGCTTCAACACTATTTGGAGCCAAACTTGCTCGATGGTCACTTATAACACGCCCACCTTTGCTAAAAGCTGATTCATAAGCAACCAAAGACACTGGAATGGTTAGTATATCACAGGCCATGGTGGAAAGCATAGGGTAATTTTTTTTGCTGTGATTTCCACCATGCCAAAATATTTAAAGGATTATTTTCATCACGATCCATTTCTGTGTGTGAATCAAGATAGCATGATAGTTCATTAGATGAAAAATTGCTTGTGTTTAACCTTTTAGAATCACAAAGGTCATCCACACGACTTCCTTTTTAACTAAATGTTGAAGTGCAAGATGTAGATGATGTGGGTACTGCTTGTTCATGTTGTGATCTATCATGCAAAGACAAATATAATTTATACTCTTCATATAACTCTTTTAATGTTGTGAGCACTTTTTCCACAATTGTATTTGAATTTCCTTCATAAAGAATTTCACAAAACACTTCTTAAATTTTTTTGTTTTGTTTTATTCCTTGGATCTAAAATTACACCCAAACCATAAATCAAGGGCAAATCCCCAAAGTACTTTGCAAATTTTGACTTCATATCACATACATTAAGCTGTTTGGAAAGATCATTGTTTTCAATTTCAAGACAAATGTCTTTTATTTTAGTACTAAAGGAATAGTTGGATAGTTAGAGCCACAAATTATTTCAGTGGATTCATAAAATTGAACTAAACGTTCCCTCCAAAGTGACGCAATATCCCAATCTTCATCTGTTAAAAAGGGTTGATGTTTGATGTTTGTTTGAAATAATCCTAAAGCGGCTTTATATTTTGTAGCCACTTCCAACATCTTATAAGTTGAATTCCAGCTAGTTTTCACATCTAATGGAACATTTCTGAGTTTTAACCCTATATTTTGGCAACATGTTAGAAAAACATGGTACTTGGTCGGTGATGTATGAAGGGTGGTTACTAAACTTCTAATGTTTTGCTATAGATTGATTTATTGTTTTCAAACCATCTTGCACAATTAAATTTAAAATATGAGCACAATTCTACATCAAAAGAGAGGTGGACTGCATTCATAGTGCAAACTCAAAATTAGTGTTTGGGCCAAAATATTGCGCTAGCCCATTTTTTGTCAAAAGGCCCATGAACAAAATGTTTTGGGCTTTTTATCTATGGGAATTAGAAATCAAACCAAGAACCTAAATTAAGCCCAGGCCTTTTTAGTAGATTGTGAATATAGCCCTAATCTTTAAAAAAAAAAAAAAAACCATTATTGGCCATTTAAAGAAAATCTCACTCCACCCAAGGAAAAAGGCAAGTCGGCAGATCTTTCTAAAAGTAGGTTTCTCTCAAGAAATCCCACGCGACTTTCTGACCTTGGAAAAAAGTCAAAATTTCCAACTATAACAGAGGAGGTGATAGGGAGTTAATGAAGGCATGTCTTACAGGAGGACTTCTCCATTTTCTGCAGCCAGGGAAAGAAGATCAAATCCCCTTTTCATATACAGAGAAGCTCTACACCAAAGCAGGTTGCCTTTCCAAGAGATAAGCATGCTACGTTTTCAAGAGATAAGTAGGGAGCAAGGGGGTTGCTCACCAGAAAAAGCAAATTGACTATCATCACATACTGTGTTCTTTTTACGAAGACGAACAGGGAACAAAAGAGAGTTGGTTTTCTTTTAGAAAAAGTAAGGAAAAGACCTCCATGAGAGCTGATTGTTGATAGTTCTTCTCTGCCAAAATAAATAAACTTCCCTCTTTTATGGCATTGAGAAAGGAAGATTATTAAAGATTAAAAACCCCACTCCAGCATTTCTTATAAATATGAGAGGAGGTGAACAGATCAAGACACAACCAAAAAATTAATCAAGATAAAAACTCTCAAAGTCATACTGACAAAATCAAAAAGATCAATAGATCTCAAGAAACCTTCAGACACTGAAGCAACCAAAAGCTCTTTGACCTACAAGAAACAAATCAGCTAGAATTCAAATATCTGGTTTTAGTTCAGTTCAGAGAAACAGTTTACAAAGCGAGATTTCTCTCATTACAAATTTGGTTTAGCACAAAGCCAAGTTAAGCAGAGTCCAGGTCTTTTTAATATTTAAGTGGAAGAATTTTCACGATAATATTTTCTTTTCAGTTTTGGTGAAGATTGCTACACCTGCAAGTAGAGGTGTCAAATAGGACGGCCCGGCCCATGGCCCGACAAACATATATTTGATGTCTTTCATTTTAGGGAAATTACTTGGGTTCTTAATTATTTAAATATATCAACTACAAATTAATTAAACAACATTGGACTTGATATCTAATCACTACATATGACATATAGGCTTCTCTTATTGTAACATTACACATCGACCAACAGAGAGGGGGTGATGTGCCTTATATGTACATCCCCACCTCCATCTAGCACGAGGCTTTTGGGAGCTCACTGGCTTCGGAGTCATGGGAATTCCGAAGTTAAGTGAGTTGAAGTTAGAGCAATCCCAAGATGGGTGACCCACTGAGAAGTTTCTTGTGAGTTCTCAGAAACAAAACCGTGAGGGCAAAAAAGAGGGCCCAAAGTGGACAATATCATGCAACGGCGAAGCCGATCCCGGGATGTGATACTTATAATCAAAGCAAGACATTTCTTCACATATAAAATAATAAGTTGTTTAAAAATGAAAAGTTGAAGTGAATTTTGTAGAGTTTGACACTTTTTGCCTTTTGCCCTTTCATATTGTTTGGATGTTTGATTGATTAATGTTTTCAAATACTTCATCATTTCTTGCCTCTAGTTATATTTTTAATGTTTATAATTTGAATTATCTAGTGGAAAAAAAAAATCAAGTGAAAAAAATTCAAATTAAATGAGTTGGTTCTTGAGCCCGAGTATGGCACGGGCACGAGTACAGGCATGGGACGAGCACGAGCATGGCACGAGCCCAGCTCAGCCCGTTTCAATGTGGACATGGGCTTTGGGCTGGGTCGGAATCAATGATTTTACTAAATGGGACGGCACGGCCGATAAATTAAATGGGCCGGCCCGGCCCGGCACGAAAACGTTAAAAGCACAAGTTTAAATGGGACGGGCCGACATGTTTGACAACTCTACCTGCAAGTGAGACAGATGGTGAAGGAATTAGAGCTGCTCTGATGCCACGGTTACATCATGTCTACTTTGCTCGAAGCTCACAACAAACTTGGTTGCATTGGGAATACCACTGTTTTGTTATACTCAGTCAATGATATTATGTCATGTGGAAGTGTTATCACTAAAGACGGACCTACGTGTAGGCTGGAGCAGAGCCACAAGAAGATTTGTAAAATAGGAAAAGATTTGTAAAGTACTGAATGGGGTGTAAATTATTCATGCTCCAATAAATATTAAATATTAGCCCATATGCATGCCTTGCTTTTTTCTTTTTTTTAAAAAAAAATTTTAAAATTTTAAAATATTAGTACATTCATTCAGTATATCTCTAATCTAATAAACTAATAATAGTCCAATCTAAGTAAAGTAAATAATAGCCCACTCCTAAAGTATATAAGAAATAATAAACATAAATCCAAACCTATAAAATTTGATTAGAAGCAAAACTCATGCTAAGGCTCTATCAACTTGAGCTATTCTAATCGTACGAATATTGGGTTACACCCACAGAGAGCAGACATCATAATTTTTTTTCTAGCCAACCACAGAGATCAGATATTGCTTTGCCCAACTTTTTGAGACTTTTTGTTTTTTTTTTTTTTTTTTTTTTTTTTGTTCTTGATATCTTTCAAAATGTCTACTCTTTCTGAACTATTGTTGAAGCCCAAAATGTCATGAGAAGCTCAAGGATATTTAAAACCCAATATAACATATAATATTGGTCATGCATTAATCCAAGCTGTATTTTGGGAATTAATTCATTAAATAAATATTGAAATTGTGTATATGCCATGCCAAGCAAATAATATATTTTCCTATGCTAAACCACCCAACAAGCTTAAGTGGGCCCAAGCCACATACATGCCCAGGGGTTGCTAAGTGGGTTGTGGTGTGGATAGTTGCAAGAGTTCATAAGGCCTATTAAGAGTTTAGAGAGTGGAAGTTTTGGGATACTAGGGCTCCAAAAATCATGCCCACTTTCCTGGGCCCAATTACACTGATAAGCAAAGAGAGAAAAACTAGCATACTAGCAACAACGCTCACTCTTCCAGCAATTAAAACCCAATCGCCATCGCCTTTGCTTCCCATTATTTAAAACCCAGCTTCCACTGTTCATCATTAAACTGCAACCACCAACGCCTCCCATTTAAACCTCAACTGCCAATGCTCATCTTCCAATAATTAAAACAGAAAGACTCCGCATGCCCATACTATAAATAGGCTTTCTCCTGTTTTGCAAAAGGGGAAAGAACAAAAAGAGAATGGCAGCAGAGGCAGGCTCATCCTATAGCTGTCGGAAGAACCAAAAAATCTGGGCCTCTTCTTTCATAACTCCAAGCCTGAGCATCACCCATATTCTTCTACAACACCATCGTTCCAACTCAAGAAGAAACTCTCTCTTGCTGAATCTATGGGCTCTTAGCCCCCACAACACAAGCCTCTCATGCCAAGCCCTTCCATATTGATTCACTGAAACACAAGCCAAGCCTAAACTTTTGATTCACTGATCATTATCTTCTTGGTGAAAAAAACAAGAGTATTCCCTAAGAATCTGCATTCTTTCGGGGTATTTTGGGGCTTAATTCTTGAACCAGGGCAAAGGGCCAACATCACTCTCTCTTTACAGTGGTCCAAGTCCATCTAGAGCTGCTGGAACAAAGAGGCCTCCACATAAATGACGACTCTGTTGGGGATTAGGCTATTTCTCTTGCAGTGGTTCCTCCACAATCCCAAGCTTTATATGATCTTGTGTTTGGGGGTGGTGAAAATTCACCTAACCCGGGCACATTTTGGAAATACGAGCGGCCGGGCTACATTCTATTATGGCCAGAA